TGCGATTAATCGCGATTCATTGTTTGACAGCACTAATATATATATATATATATATATATATATATAAAATTGTAATAATTTACTAATTTACTAATTATTATTTCAAATATCAAAAAATACATCTTGAATTGTTTATTTTTCCTACTGTATACAAATGTCTTATTTGAAGAATGATTCAATTATTTTCCTGGAAAAAAAAATTTTTTTTTAAATACAATTATTTTTGCAATGTGTCAAGCATTTTAATGTAATAACTACATGCCATACAAAGATCCAGATCTGAAATGTTTACCAGAAAGATTTCTTTGTCTACAGAGAGTTTCAGAGCTAGCAGAATTCAACATTTGGCATCTTACCTCTTAACTTCACTTTCTTAGACCGGGAAAGCATGGACGATCGATCAAATGTCTGAAAGATAGTAAATAAATACAAGATTTAAATCATTTCATGCTGCGTACCTTAATCTTAAATGATATATACATTAAGTTGTCTTCAGCACACTCACAAGATAGACAGATGAGGTTTCAGATGTGGGTGTGGCCAGTGAGTCCTGCTGCAGCATGTCAATCTGCAGGGTGGGGACTAGGGCGTAGTGGGTGGGGCTACCACCTTTCTCACTTTTTCTCCGCCGACTACTGCGACGTCCAGTGTGGTACTCCTCTGTCCCCGCCTTGTCCTCACATACATATCGCAGCAGGGAGTTTTCTGTTAATAAACGTGTGGGATTATGAAACTACATGCTGATTATAAAATGGGACAAAGCACATTTTCAATGCACTGTCTGTTTTTAAAATGTAATAAAGCAGTTTTGATTGTGCCTTTTAAATAATGTAATGGTTAGAGTTGAAATCAAATTATTCAGAGGTCTCATGATCAAAGAATACGGCTGAAAGATGCTGTGTTGCACATGTACAAATTTGATATAAATTCTGCCAGCATGACTAAAGAAAGCATTCTCTCTGCTCCCACTCCTTCAGCAACAGAGCCTGGCCTCAACCAATCAGAAGCCAGCATCTTGGCAAGACCTCTATGTTGGAGTTACCATGGCAATGCAAAACCAAAAAAATCCCAAAATCTCAAAGAGCCAGCGAGATACTGGCAGACAGATCCCAGAGCAAATGAGGTAAATGTAGGGGAGACGGGGACAATCTGAGCACAATGGCCAAAGATTTTAAAATGTGCCAATGGGGAGGTCAGGGATGAAATCAGTGATGAAATCACTGCTTCAGTATAACCTAAGGAAAAGATATCAAAACAACATCCTCCTCAATGCTCATCCACCCACATACAAACACACACACCTCTTCTGATCTCTTTCTTCAGCTTGGCGGGATCTTCATAGTCTCCAACCCAGTTATATTCTACGGGCATGGAAATAGGCCTCAGCCGTCCTAGTACACAAGCACAGAGAAATCGAAACAAAATCAAATAATACATTACAGCACAATACACATATTGGGCCAGGAGTAGAAGATTAAGTATAACTTAATTGTTAAAGGGGTCATATGATGTTGCTAAAAAGAACATTATTTTGTGTATTTGGTGTAATGAAATGTGTTTATGCGGTTCAAGGTTCAAAAAACACATTATTTTCCACATACTGTACATTATTGTTTCTCCTCTATGCCCCGCCTTTCTGAAACGCGTCGATTTTTACAAAGCTCATCGGTCTGAAAAGCGAGGTGTGCTCTGACTGGCCAGCTATCCAGTGCGTTATGATTGGCCGAATACCTCAAGCGTGTGATGCCCTGTCAGGCCGGAGCGACGAGACAAAAACATTAAAACCCATTATAAACGAGGCATTTGTTGCATCCAGTAGGAAAAATTGAAATCGCATCATATGACCCCTTTAAGTTTACTGCAATGATTTATGGCCATTTTAATGTAATATATGTCTGTATATACAGTATATTCTGTGTTGCAGATAAAAACAGCCTGCAAAGACCAAACCATTATACCATTATAAGAAAGCATGTACCATATGTAGGAGTGCTGTCCCTGCGTACGGGTGGAGGGCCCTGATTCTGATCATACTCATAACAGTAGAAGACCGCATCCTCATCTAACAGGGGGAATCGCCTCCGGCACTCCTGATCCATGAAGGAATTGGGCGAATCAGAACCTTTAGCGGCCTGCTTGAAGTTGCTGGTCAGATTTCCTATGTCGTCTCTGCAATGATAAGTGAAATGTTTTATAATCTTTTGCTCCACAGATCTTAAATGCGAACTAGATTTTGATCGTTCCAAAAGATAAATGATTTCCGGTGCAAAAATCACCACCACAGTGCTACAATGCAGTTGCTAAGGTGTTTCTTGTTGCTTATTGGTTGAACCAAAAAGATCCATCTCCAAATGGTCTCATGATATTTTGCTCTTTATGGCTTGATATATTTCACTTGAAGAAGTCTGGGGTCAGTAAGATTTTCTTAAATAAATTAATAATTTTATTTAGCAAGGATGAAATAAACTGATCAAAAGTGACAATAAAATCATTTAAAATATTTAACAAAATTCTACTTTAATTAAATACTGTTAATTTGAACTTCTATTCATCAAAGAATCTTGAAAACAAATGTATCTCGGTTTCCACAAAAATATTAAGGGGCACAGCTGCTTTTAACACTGACAATAATAAGAAATATTTATTGAGCACAAATCAGCATATTAAAATGATTTCTGAAGGATCAATGACACTGAAAACTGGAGTAATGGCTGCTGAAAATTCAGCGTTGCCAACACAGGAATAAATTACATTTTAAAATATATTCAAATAGAAATGTCACAACATCACATTGTTTGGACTTTGTTTGTATCATTTTCTCTGTCTAGTTAGTTGTCATGGTTTCTGATTTGAGTTCTTCATTATGTTCAGGTGTGTCTTGTTAATTATTCTAGTGTGGTCTGTATATTTAAGTTCCTGTCTGTTCAGTTTGAGTTTGTCGGGTATCGTCAATGTTATGTGTGTCTCCTGCCTTCTCTTGCTTGGATTTACCTATATGTGGATTTATTAAAGACTGCTTATCTTCATCTTTGTCTTTGTGTGTGTTCATCGACACGGTTATGTGACAAGAAAACAGTTATTTTAAATTATAATATTTCACAATATTACTATTTTACTTTTTTGATCAAATAAATGCAAACTCGGTGAGCATCAGATACTTCTTTTAAAAAAAAAGTCTTACTGACCCTAAACTTTTGTACTGTTCTCAAAAAGTGCATGTTGAGGGGGTTTTCATATATATATATATATATATACAGTGTGCATCTGTGTACTAGTTTGTGTTGTAATACTGTACCTGGGTGTGTATGGCTCATCTAGGGGAGGGGGGATGAAGAGGTCCTGTAGAGTGCAGCTGTCCCGTCTGGATGGGGTACTGAGAGTGCTGGATGGTGTGGCCATGCTACTGCTGGGGCTGGGAGGAATGATGGGCTAAAAACAGTGGTACAGTTAGCTTTAGCATTTCTAACATCCCTTAGGAAAGTTGTTCAAATACGCTTTTGCGTTTTGATGCAGGCCATTTTCAAGTTTACTTTTTAACTTGTCAGTAAAGAGTGCTTTCATTATTCAGCATTTCATAGCAGGTAAAGAAACACATAAAAAGTGTACAAATGTCCTCTCCATTTCACGCGGATATATGAAATACATATGGTACATGACAAATATTATCAACAAATATCAACAATAATAATATATAGTAATTTCCCTAGAAATGAAGCACTCATCCCAGTGGTGGAATATCTGACCCATGTGTGTCTGTGGAAGAAGAAATGCGAAAAGAAACAGCATCTATCTCATTTAGGTGTTCAGCCATGCTGATTCTGTGTCCTCTTGCTTTTATGTATTCAAAACACAAAACACAGCTTTGGTTTTGTGTAAATAAAATGCCTTCTCAGTGTCTTCAACTTTGCTGTTGTCATGACAATCAGTGTGTCTTGTTCACTGTCAGCTGTGCCATTTGAAACGGCAAAGAAGAAATAAATGTGCAATTTATATACTGCACAGTCAAGCGTCTAAAATGACATTCCACGTTTTCCTCTAAGGGCCACAATAAAGCTTCCTGATGTGCCGGGGCTTCAGTGGAGCAGCAGAGGAGATTGAGGAAGGAGGGATAAGCACCAGATTAGAGGTAAAAAGAGAAAAAAGGGAGGTTGGTGGGTGGTGGAAGAGTGGAGCGAAGTTTTGCTATGCAATATAGTTGGTCAAAGCCCTAAGGGAGGGGAAGAGTGCTCCTAATGCCGCTAAAAAAAGAACAGGCACAGATTGGGGGACTACGCCATGGCATATCATCAATTCCCACACACCACTTAATCCTCGTACTGCACACATCCCATCAGTACCTGCAGGGCGAGGGGCTTCCATCTCATGTTCTTGAGTAAGGCTGGGGCTGACGTGAGAGTGCTTTGAGGTCGTTTCTTTAGCGTGAGGGTCACACCTGCAGGATTGCTACGTAAAGAGTTTACTAGGTTCTTCAGCTGCCAGCCCACCTACGCAAGTCAAACACACGTGTTCACCTCATAACACAACACAGTCAGAAAATAATTCAAAACATACCAGCATTATGTCATCTTGTTAACGGGGTCATTCTTCATGTCCCCACCATATACTGCACATCTTAATATATTGGTTAAAACATTAAACGAGATGGAAAACTACACACTTTACCATTCAAAAGGTTGGGGTCAGTGAGATTTTTTAATAAGAAGTCTCTTATGTTCAACATGGCTGTTTTTTTTTCAACAATACAGTAAAAATAGTAATATTGTGAAATATGAATATAATGTAAAATAAATTCTGTCTATTTGAATATATTTTAAAATATAATGTATTCCTGTGCTAGCAAAGCTGAATTTTTGCAACCATTACGCCAATCTTCAGTGTCACATGATCCTTCAGAAATCATTCTAATATGCTGATTTGGTGTTCATGTAACATATTATTATTAATGTTGAAAACAGTTGTGCTGCTTTTTGTGGAAACTGTGCTATTTGTTTCAGGATTCTCGGAAGAATAGAAAGATCAAAATAACTATTTGAAAAACATATTTTTTGTAACAATGTAAAAGTCTCACTGTCACTTTTGATCGATTAAATATGTTGTTGCTGAAAAAAAAGTATGAATTTCTTTAAAAAAAAAAAACGACAAACTTTTAAATGGTAGTGTACTTCCAATATGAAAAACTAAATTTATTAAAAATTTACATACATTCAGTCTTTTGTGAATATCACTTAAACTAACAACAATCATCCTCCAGGTAGTGACATCATTTTTGTTGGGAAAATAACAGCACACCACCAGACAACTTCAATTTCATGTATATTTCATATCATATCAATTTCAAGTCAGTCCCTCATTGACCAGGAATGATCTGGCCATGTTATCAGTTATAGGGTAAAATTATTGTGTGCGACAGATACACTCACCACTGTCTGATGATTGACCTGTATGACCTCATCACCAGCATGGATTTTCTTACAGCGGTCAGCTAGCGACTGAGAGAGGGAGAGAAAGAAAGCCATTGGATTCCACATGAGAAAACACAATTGTTTTTATAATTACATGTACTACCAATGTTCTTTCTTCAGCTGAACTGTCCATGCATGTCATATTGAGATTGAAATATTGAAAATGACCACTCACTCCCTCTGTAGTGCCCGTGATGACATGTAGGCCATCATAGGTTGATTTGATGTACATGCCCTAGGGCAAGGAGAAAGACACTTTAGAGCCATTGCCTGAAAATATCGGACACATTCTGGGAAAACACTGAAAGAAGCTTGCTGACATGACATGCAAGTACAAATCCTCTCTGACACACAGCCTCATAAAGAAGAGATATAGGGGGAGAGAGGGAGGGCATGTGAATGTTTATTTTTATCTCTATTCAGGCTTTATTGAGCAGATACTGACAGTGTCAAGTGTGTCTATATGTAATTGTCCAAATGTTACTGCCCGAAGCTCATTCAAACACAACTACCAGAATACCATCTATCTATCTATCTATCTATCTATCTATCTATCTATATCAGTCTTTAGGAAGTAAAAAGAAGTTCAATTTTGAATAATTAATACATTTAATTAATTACTGAATAAATGCAGCAAATTAGTCTTAATAATATATTTTTCACCATCTTAAAGTCATTTGATGTTTATGGGAAATTCTTTTAACACATCCTAGCTTGAAATCTCCTGAAGTTTGTGCATAAGGAGGAGAGATGAGAAATCTAGGCATCCTGATACCTACCAGTCCCTCTGTGGATCTTATGTTGTCCAGCTGCACCACTTCCAGATGGGCGACCTGGGACACCATGGGGTCCGAAGAGAGGGAAATGATGTGGTCACACACGCCTGACAGTGTCTTACACTGAGGACAGAGAGAAAGAAAAGTGAGAATAAAGAAGTTTAAGAATTTTAGATATCTTGACCAAGAGAGGCACAGAAAGTGTCTCCTAGCTGAAGCTGCTAATGGACTTCAATATGCTGATGATTTTGTTGCATGTTCACCGCGATTCTTCATAAACACCATCTGCGTTGAGACCAAGTGTACACCAACACATAGACTTTCCAACTCGGGGAAACAACATTCTAGACTTTGTTTACACCACACAGAGAGGAGCTTACAAGGCCCTCCCCCTCCCCCACCTCGGTGCCTCAGACCACATCACTGTCATGCTAATGCCTGCATACAGACCGCTCGTTAAAGTCACCAAACCAGTTCACAAACTGATACAAGTGTGGCCGGAAGGGTCGTCAGAGGCTCTTCAAGACTGTTTCAACACCACTGACTGGAATATGTTTAAGCAGGCTGCAACA